AGTTTTAATTATGCAAGATGCTCTCTCTTTACAGTAGCTGGGCAGGTTCATTTTGAAATTCTCAACTTCTGTTGCTTAGAAGTACCGAAATTCACTGTTACATTTGAAACACCCTTTTCATGTTTACATTTAGACTATTTCATGAGACAGGCAAATAAAACATGTACATGAAAGAACTACTACATTAATTCCAGACACAATCACACTTGGCAAGGAAGCATATAGATTTTCTTAATCACTTGTAGCAGATGTATTTCAAAGCAAAGGAAAATTTGCTTTTACAATTCCTGAAGACTCCTACCAGAGGTACAAAACTTCTCTAAGGAAGAGATTAAAAGCATGCTGAAAGCAGCATCTATAGATTTAGTGATTTCAGTGGACAGTGAATCAAGACCGGGGAGCAAGACACCATTAGAAACCCCACTGAGAAATAACATATGTCATCAGCATGGCCAGTGCTAGCAGGGAAAGATGTAGTGCAGTGCTATGAGTGACATCATTTTACTCTAAGTGGTTCAGTACAACTACAAATTGTAGTCATATTTTTAATATTTTTAAGCTGAACTCAACCGCACAAGTTAGCTGAAACATGTCTAGGACCTTTAGAATTTTACAGATTAATCACCTGCCAGACAAAGATGTTATTATGGAAGTGTCAGAGGGGGGGGGGGTTGGAAATCAGGATTTGCTAAGGACAAAGGTTACTCTTAAAGCAGGTTTGCGTGCCTCAAGCACAATATATTTCTCCTCTCTGGAAGCATTCTGCCAGCCAGCCAAAACAACTCAGAGTAACTTATATGTAAAATATTAATTTATCTGTAAACTAATTGGAACATTTTACATGACAGAATGTGTCGAGATAGAAACCGTTCCCCATTATTAACCCCACCACAATCAGCAAGATGTTTTTTTCCATTGAACAGAAGAGAGACAAAATAATACATTGTTCACAGGTGATTTAAAATAAACTCTTTAAGTAGTTTCAGGAGTGCAATTAGAAAAAAAAAAAAAAAGAGAAAATAAATTAAATATGCCAATAGACCGATGCATATCTTCTCATTAAGAAGTGTCTCACAGTTAAAAAAAAATAGCAAGGGTGATTTTCTTTCCTATATTTGAAAGCTAACAAGTTTAATGATACAATATTTTCATGCTAATGCCAAAGAAGAGCCAAGATAGCACAGGCCACTGTTAATGAAACAAAATCTTATCTTTAGGTCACCAGTTAAATCACTGACAAGCTCAATACATGCTTAACAGACTCTAATAACTGATATGGCTTCTGTCTGTTTGGGGCTGTAAACCATACTCCTCATCATGATACCAAAGTGCTCAGTTGGTGGTCTTGGTCTTTTTCCTTAGCCCTAAGCAACCAGAAACACTGATGAACACAAAGCAGGGGCCAAAAATGAAGCAAGATTGTGAACGTTCACAATCAGGTCTCATCAGTTGCAGTCTCCACTATCTCTGTAATCTTCTGTCCCCTTATAGTAAAGCCTGAATTGAAGTTCTATAATGCAGATTTTGGAATAATTTATGTTTATACTCAAAATCTTGATCCTGAATACAGACTTCTTTTCTGAACAACAAATTTATACTTGTAAAGCTAGATGTAATACATTTGTTCTATATAGTCTTAAGCTATTTTAACAGGGACTTCTTGCCTTCTGCAAGTTGTACAGCTCACTTTGAAGTTCTAGAATAGTCAGTAACTGGGGGTGGTGGTGGTGATGTAAATCAAGCTGTATTTGTCTTTGTGATAAATTTGCAATATTGCAATTCCGTAATCTCGTTGCCAGATTTTATATCTGCCTAGCTGAAAGAAAGGTTAATGAGAAAAAAGATTCTCGTCCAAAGTACTGTCAACTTAAAAAATCATCTGTAACTGCAGGAACATCTTAAACCTTTAATAATCTTGGGAGATTAACTTTTCTGTATGTGAAAATCAGGCTTTATGTCCATGAAACTGCTTTCTTTGTAGGAGTATGAATTTGTAAGGTTTTAAATGGACATTGCTGACTTTATAGACCACTGTAGGCCTAAACAGACAAGATACTGCAAAACATACCAGATCCATCTGTCCGAGGCTTACTTGGACAGATTGTTTGTTTAAAAAAAGAAAAAACAAAACCAAAACAACCCGCCCCAAAATCCCACTCTCATACCGGCTCTCCATGAGACAGATCTTCATGCCTTACCTCTTTGACCTGCAAAGTCTTTTCAATATTTGTTTCAAGCTTTGTTCTATTTTACTTCTTTCGGAATAGTTTTCTAAGCGTATGCCTCCTCAGAGGCAGCCTGTCAGCTATGGGGCCATAAATACTGATGCTACACAGGCCTTTGGAATACCATGCCTGGGAGCAAGAGAAAAGGAAGTAGAAAAGCCATCACGTTTAAGGCACACATTTGAAAAAAGACAACTCGCATAGGTCACAATTGTACTACACGAGGATGGCTTGCTGATTTATTTGATATTTAGCTTGGGGAAGAAAGAGGAAGAGAAATAAGGGGGTGAGAGAATGTTTAGCCAAAAAAGCTCATCTGTTATCAGGGCATCTACAGATGTCCTTGATTTTAAAGCATTCTTGCAACATTTAAACTTTTGGTTCTGGTGGGGAGGTAAAAAGGTTAACTACTGTAAAATCAGTCTGATCTTTGTCTAAAGATAAAAATGATTATGAAACTATCAGTTTTTTAAGGCTAGTAGTGCTCTTGATCTATAAGTGAATTTTTCTTTAACAGTCAGAAAAATAAATCTGAGGTTTTTCCTGGCCACTTGTGTGCTCCTATGTATAACCCAGCATTAACAATAATCCAGTGACTTTTATCCACCTAAAAAGTAAGCATCAACAGTTCAACCAGCACCAACAGCACATCCAAGGCTTTGCAGAATTCAGCAACAAGATAAACTCTTGAACACCTCCTGTCCCAAAACTTTACCTAAACCATGGCCCAGTGATTAATATCCACCCAAGTAAAGTGTTCTTCTAGGCCAATGGCTGCCCTCATCCAACTGTGAGCTTCCCATCCTCCAGTAATGTACTTCAAGCCATCTATTCTGAATCCTAATCTAAACACACTTTAAAAAAAAAAAAAAATCGAGTTGTAACTATAGCCTACAGACCCATACTGGGTGTTTTTGGCCACAATACTGAATTCTAGGGCCTTTCTCAGAACCAGCACATATTGTAACTCTATGAGCCTTCAACCAAAGTTATGAAGAAATGTAATTCTCCAGGCTCTGCTGTGCCAGACTGTAAACCCAACTCCAAACTGAATTCTGGTATTGATCATATGCATTATGTACAGTGAGAGACACACAGCCTTGGACTAGCCATGAGCCATTATTGCCCACTGGCACAGCCCACAGCCACTGAACAAGCCTTACTAGACATAGCAATATGGGCAACTCCTAAGTTTCTTACCCGAATAATATCCTTTCCTGTTATGTCAGCCGAACTCAGATATTAACCAGATTTCTGCACATGACACTTCTGTAGGAGCTAATATTTGCCTTAGGAACATCAGTGTACTTTCTAGTATTATAGCGTTTGCAAGATGCAACAGTACATTCATCTCTGCTGGCACCACTGTTGCCCTAGACTTTAACTTCAACTTTAGTCCCACCCTAACCCTAGCACTACCCTCTCTTCCAGTTCCATAAAAGAAATAACCTATAAGACCCTAGTCGCTGTTGCTGCCAATCTTAATTACAGCCCTGTGGATCTGCAGGATTCAACATTAAACTGAGATCTTCAAACTGCTATCTGGAAATAGATGTAGCACCTAACAACTATAAACTGTGATCTGGCAAGGCAGAAATATCAATATTTTGACTGACAAATGATAATATTCATAGATCTTTCAGGCTTCACAGTGACTTCTAAATATTAACTAACCACCAGAACAGTGCCATAGAGATAGAACTTTGCAGAACAGTTTTATGAGTAAACGCACAATCCAAGTATTCCTTCATGCTTCTTTCATTCTAACAGAGTGGATCTGATTAATTTGAAGTTATATGTATATCTAAATGTTTAACTATTATATTTCTATATAATTTTTGAAACAGATTGCTGTACACACACACACGTACAGATGAAAGATAAGCAACTGACAAAGAAAACTAGTAGTATTGTACAAGTTCTCAGCTCTTACAAATAAGATATTAATGATTTATTCTTTTGGAGAAGTTGCCTTTATCTGTTTGAAACAGACTAAACCCAAAGTAATTTCAGCTATGGAAAAAGATGACGAGACAGACAGAGGGTACAGTCAAGGTCATGCAACACCAAATCATTTCAAACTCTACCAGTCTTTGTGGATGAGCTCTTAGTTAAGGATTTCTGTGCTTTAAACCTAACAGCAAGACAAATAATTATGGCTCTGTTTAGACAAAGTGTCTTATCAATAGTAAAAAACAGAAACATGACAAAATATTAAACCAGCTCATAGTTACCTTTTCTTTGAGGTGCTGAGAACACGGTATTGCCATTATTGTCACCAAAACTTTCATTAGCTGCAAGCTAATTTCTTTGCAGTCTTCCTGGCATACTTCAATCAATGCTTGTACACAATAAAGCAACTGTTCCATATAGAAGACCTATTTTTTAATAAAAGCATAAAGAGAATGTTATATTTTCTAACAAAACATAATAAATTTAAGGGAGAGATATGGAAAATGACAATAAAATCTGAGCACTGTATAATCCCCTACATTGGTAACATATTGATAATTTCATGTTAGTTCTTTTGATTACCTACATTCTACTTTTTATAGAATACAATATAATCTTCCTCCCACACCATTTGTTTGTATTTACCGTGTGCTGTTAACAAAATAAATGACCCTGCTCTTAATCACACAACTGTTCCACTGTGAATAAAAATATCAAAGCATTTTGGAATGCTTACTGATAGTACTTTCTCATTCTGAAGTGCAATTTGTTAATTAATAACATATTTGTTATAACTCTTTCAAATAGTATTTCATGTTTGACTATTTTGAATGGAACAATAATGGTTAAATACATAAACCAAGAAAACCTGAACATCTGCTTTTATCTCAGCCAATTTATCTCATTTGATGCAATATAATTCACGTTATCCTGATTCAACTGATACCAGTTGAAGTCAAGATTGTTGTCAGTTAGTTTGCCATAACTTCTATGATGAAGTGCATCAGATATTCCATGAAGCTGTCGGATTACCCACAACGAACAGAAGAGGCCATTGTTACAAATTTACTTCCAAAAAATAAATCAAGTCTAGGAATAGGTTAGCTATAAATGTTATTAATCTCATGGACATGGTCAATCCTTAGCTAAACAGTGTCTATGCAGCATTCGCTGTCTAAAAGAGAGAAAGATTGTTTTCCAAGACCAAAGGCTAGAACAATTCCGCCAAACGCCTCAGCTGCAAATGAATGTGTCTATTGTATCTAATGCCAAATGGAAGTAGTAAGCTTAAGACCTCATAGCAATTTTGCAGATACACTTCAGGGAACTGTTATTTGAACAATCAGGTTATAGTGCTTCCAGTTGCAGGAGTTCCAAATCATCACAGGCTTCATGGAGATTAACCTTAAATTCCTGCATCACTGGTACATATTCCATTAGGGAAGAAACCTAATGAGGGAAGAACTTCAAAAATATATCTTACATTGGCTCAAAAAGACAATTATGCTAGATTCAGTCTACACACATGAATAACTGTTTTAAAGTGAAGTCTGTGTCTGACGTGAAGTCAGAGTTTTCTGAATCATAGAATCATTAAGGTTGGAAAAGACCCTTAGGATCATCGAGTCCAACCGTTAACTTAGCACTGCCAAGTCCACCACTAAACCATGTCCTCAAGCACCACATCTACCCGTCTTCTAAATACCTCCAGG